TGAAAGAGATCTGCGCCGCCTCCTCGAAGCGACGTCAATGTGCGCCTCGTTGGCCAACTCCGCAAATCCATAAAATCGACGGTCAACTTCAAAGACTTGCCGCCCGCCGTCAACAAAAAACGCCTCATCCAAAAGACCGTCTTTGACGAGCTTGTCAAGCTCGTCGATCCCCATGCCGAACCGTTCAAGCCCAAGAAGGGCAAGGCCAACGTCATCATGTTCGTCGGTCTGCAGGGCGCCGGAAAGACAACAACGTGCACAAAGCTCGCCCGACACTACCAGGCCCGCGGCCTCAAGGCCTGTCTCGTGTGCGCCGACACGTTCCGAGCCGGCGCCTTCGACCAGCTGAAGCAGAACGCCACCAAGGCCAAGATTCCTTACTACGGCTCCCTCACCGAGACGGACCCGGCCGTCGTCGCCCGCGAGGGTGTCGACAAGTTCAAGAAGGAGCGCTTCGAGGTCATCATTGTCGACACATCCGGCCGCCACAGGCAGGAAGAGAATCTATTCCAGGAGATGGTGGACATTCAGGCGGCGATCAAGCCCGACGAGACCATCATGGTGCTCGACGCCTCCATCGGCCAGCAGGCCGAGTCGCAGGCCAAGGCGTTCAAGGAGGCGGCCGACTTTGGCGCCATCATCATCACCAAGACGGACGGTCACGCCCACGGCGGTGGTGCCATCTCGGCCGTCGCCGCGACGCACACGCCCATCGTCTTCATCGGCACGGGCGAGCACATGCTCGACTTTGAGCGCTTCGCCCCGCAGCAGTTTGTCCAGAAGCTGCTCGGCATGGGCGACATGGCCTCGCTCGTCGAGCACGTGCAGTCGCTTAAGCTCGACCAGAAGGACACGATGAAGCACATAACTGAGGGCATCTTCACCGTCCGCGACCTGCGCGACCAGCTGTCTAACATTATGAAGATGGGCCCGCTGTCCAAGATGGCCGGCATGATTCCCGGTATGAGTGGCATGATGCAGGGCATGGACGACGAGGAGGGCTCCCTCAAGCTGAAGCGCATGATCTACATCTGCGACTCCATGACGGACAAGGAGCTCGACTCGGACGGCAAAATGTTCACCGAGCAGCCGACGCGCATGACCCGCGTCGCCCGCGGCTCTGGTACCTCGGTCCGCGAGGTTGAGGACCTCCTCACGCAGCAGCGCATGATGGCCGGCATGGCCAAGAAGATGGGCGGCAACATGAAGAACATGCAGCGCGCGCAGCAGGCCATGGGCGGCGGCAACAAGGCCCAGCAGCTCGCCGCCATGCAGAAGCGCATGCAGAGCATGGGCGGCGGCGGCGGCGGTGGCATGCCCGGCATGGGTGGCATGCCCGACATGGGCAGCCTCATGAAGATGCTTGGCGGCGGCGGCGGCATGCCCGGTGGTGGCGGCATGCCTGACATGCAAGCCATGATGAAGCAGATGGGCATGGGGGGCGGCATGCCGGGGATGCCTGGTGCTGGACGGGGAAGGAGGTAGACCTTGCTTCAAATGAAAGGGGAGGGCATGATAGGAGGGTTGGTTGGGTGGACGGACAAACTACGATGATTCTGATTCCCAGTCACGAGCAGGCAGCACAATAGGGAGGGGGCGTTTGGTCTTGCATAGGAATCGATTTCCATGAACCAATGAATGCAGCAGTGACACTACGAATCGCATGGGGTGTGATGTATCAAAACGTCTCCATTATTCAAGCAGGATTATTCGAGCTGGTGTCTCTCCAAGACCTCCAGGCCGACACAAACTTGGTCAGTAATGCAAGTAAGAAAAACAAATCCGCCGAATCTCAGCGTTCAACAGGTACATCTCCAACATTTCCTTGCTCTCGAACCCACTTGGGAGTTCATATGGCCTTTTCCACTCCACACAACACTAGGGTATCTTCTTTCTCTCTCTCTCTCTCTCTGTGTGTGTGTGTGTGTGTATGTGTGTGTCTCTAGAACGATCACACTATCATCAAAAACTCGTCAAACCTTCTGCTCGGCCGTGGCTCCGTCATGCTGCGTAGAGCCAGAGACGTCACTCGTGGCCCTTCGCGGCCCGGATCGAGACTGAGATCGCGACCTGCGTCCCTGGGTGTTTGACCGCGAGAAGCTCGCCCACTCCTTGAAGCTGCTCATTGTCATGGTGCGGCGCATACCCGTACCGGTGCTCTCCTCGCCCTGGTTGAACGAGCCGCGTACGACGGCGCCGCTCTCGAGCAGGCCAAACGTCCGTTTGACAAATTTCCACGCCTCAATGCCAAAGACGAAGAGAATAGTAAAGGCAACGGCGACGCCCCACTCCCACGTGATGCCCGTGTGCTTGAATAAGTTGTGGTTGACGTAGGGGATGTAGACGACGGGGAAGACGGAGATGCCGCCGATGATGACGGCCCAGAAGAGGAACCTGTTGCTCCAGAGATCCTTGAACAGGGGGAAGCGGCTCTCGTCGTCGGGGTTGAGGCGGAACATAGAACGACGCAGGCTCTTGAACTCCCAGGCAGAAAGAAGAATCATCCAGGTCAGCTCGGCAAAGACACATGCACGGGCGCGGAAGACAGGGATGCACTCGTCAGAGAAGGACTTGTTGCACTCGGAGCCGAGGTTGCCATCGTTGGCGCCCCAGATAACAATGCAGAAGCTGACCATGGTGAGAGCGCCCATGATGACGCCGTAGACTAGCATGTCAATCATGATTTGGTTGGTGAAGACGCCGCGCTTCTTGTCGTGAGGGGGTCGGCGCATGACGTCCGGGGCGGCAGCCTCACGGCCGAGACCGAAGGCTGGGAACGACGAGGTGACCATGTTGATCCAAAGAATCTCGAGAGGCGAAACGGGGAAAACAGCAAGATTCTGGGCGTCGCGGAAACCAAGTCCAGCAACAAGCAGAATGACTTCACCGACGTTGGACGTCAGCAGGTGGAGGATGAACTTCTGGATATTGTCGAACATGCGACGTCCCTGACGGATGGCGGACACAATGGAATTGAACTTGTCATCGGTCAGGACAATCTTAGACGCGCCCTTGGCCACGTCGGATCCAGACCCCATGGCGATACCGACATCGGCGCTTGACAGCGAGGGCGCGTCGTTGACACCGTCACCGGTCATCGCCATGAAGGCGTTTCGGCGACGAAGGGCATGGATCATCCTAGTCTTGGTCTCGGGGGCGCATCGTGCAATAACCAGAGGCAGCTCCTCGAGAGCGTCCTGCTCCTGATCGGTCATTCGATCAAAGTCGGTGGCTTTCATGACAGCGTGACGTGCGACGTTTTCGGGCAAGATACCCATGTTCTTGGGAATGATGCCGACTTCCTTTGCAATAGCCTTGGCAGTCTCGGGATGGTCGCCAGTCAGCATGTGGACGCGGATACCAGCGGTCGAGCACTCAGAAATGGAGTCCTTGGTCTCGCGACGGGGCGGGTCGTAGATACCAGCGAGGCCGAGAAGCGTCAGGTCATCTTCAATCTCGTTCCTCATGGCCTCCTCGGCACCCGCCTCAGCTTTGCCATGGATGTGAGGCATTTCAAACTTGCCGTCCCACTCCTTGTAGCCGATTGCAAGGACACGCTGGCCCTGCGAGGCGAGATGGTTCATTTGGCCAAGAACCTCTTCTTTCAGCTCATCCGTCATGACTTGCTTGGAATCGCCGTAACCGATGTGGCTGCAGAGGTCGAGGACACGCTCAACAGCGCCCTTGGTGAAGACGAGGCTGTTGTCTGTGGACAGGAGCTGGGGCGATCCGTCTTGCGGGGCATCAAAGACCACGGACATGCGCTTGATAGAGCTGTCAAAGGGAAATTCACCGAGTTGCTTCCAGCCCCCGGCCTCAAGACCCTTCTTGCCGAGCTTGAATCGGTGGGCGAAAACTTGAAGAGCAATCTCAGTTGGCTCGCCAGTGGTCTGCCACTTCTTCTCATCTTCGTCGAAACGGACAGTGGCCAGGTTGCAAAGAGCGGAAGAAAGGAGGAACGCCTCGAGAGCATCATTCATTTCAGCCGGCACCTCGGGCTCCTTGGGCTTGGAAGGCTTCTCTCGGGTCTCGGGAACATCAAAGGTGAGAGCACCAGCGGACCTCTCTTGGTCGTAGTCCTTGCGAGGTTGAGCCTCCTCTTCTTTGCGAGACGCGGTATACGTGACACGACCGACAGTGGGATCGTTAGGGTTCTGCGAGTCGTGTACGGTGTAGGTGTGCGAGGTAGGGAGCCAGGCCTTGCGGACAATCATGGCGCCCTGAGTCAAAGTGCCAGTCTTGTCGGAACAAATGTTGGTCACGCCGCCGAGAGCTTCCAGGGCAGAGAGGTCGCGGACGACGACGTTGGCCTTGCGCATGACAGTGACTGCAACGACCATGGTGATGGTGAGAACCCTAGTAAATGTCAGTTTGGCATGTTTCCAGACCGAGTAGAGGAGGGGGGGAGGGGGGTCCTTACGCTACGAGTGACTCCGGGATGATGGCAATGCCGAGTGACACGGCATAAATGATGACCTCGCCGGACAGATCAAATTTGTGGGCGCCAAAGACGATCATGGCGAGAATGATGGCACAGCCAAAAAGGAAGTAGGCCAACACTGCAAGCTTCCGCTGGAGAGGGGTTCCCTCGGTCAACCCAAGGAACTTGCCCACAGCATCATAGGTGCGCTTGGAGCCGCCGACAAAAGGGGCTTTGGCGCCGTACTTCTTCGCGTTCATCGAGCGGCCGGGCTTGCGCTTCTTCTTGGTGGTCGAGGCGGCAATTTCACCGACGGCAGTCTTCATGCCAGTGAAGACAGCAATACCGCGGCCGCGGCCCTTCTTCACAATGGTGGTAGCGTAGGCCATGTTGATGCGGTCTCCGACCACGAGGTCCTGAGGGCTGGTGGCCACCGTGTCGGTGCCGGGAATGACGAGGTCGGCATTGATGCTCTTATCGACTGGGAGAGATTCTCCCGTGAGAGACTGCTCGTCACACGACAAGTTCATGGCTTCGTAGATGCGGAGATCGGCGGGGATGGTGTCGCCCATCTTGAGAAGGATGATATCACCGGGCACGACGTCGGGGCTAGAGTGTGCTGTCAGTCAGCCGTTCGAGAGCTAGTGGCAAGTGGCTACTTACTTGGAGATGACCTGGGTCTTGCCGTCGCGCAAAACCATGGCCGAGGGAGAAGAGAGGGCTCGGAGGGCATCCATGCGCTGTTCGGCACGGTACTCTTGATAGAAGCCAATTGTGACATTGGCGAAGATGACAAAGGCAAGGACACCGCCCTCAATGTAGTCATTGATGGCGAAGGAGAGGATCATGGCGAAGACGAGACCCTACAAATATTAGAGGCTGAGGCTGGAACGCGGGTTCAGAGCGGCAAACATACCAGGACCATGGCGTTTGAATAGCTGTTTGCTAAGGATGGTGTACCAAGGAATCGCCTTGGCCACCTCAAATTCGTTCTTGGGATACTTCTGCTGCGCCTCGGCGACCTGCTGGCTGGTGAGGCCCTTGTCGAGGTCGGTGCCGAGGGCACGAGCAGCCTCCTCTGCTGTCAGCAGGAAGGGGTGCTTGGAATAATCAGCCGACATGTTGGCGAATGATTGTTGATGGCCTGGTCCGAAGCCTGTCCATTCACGAAGAGACCAGAGGTCGGGGATGTTGGACTAGAAAGAGGGTTCGTTTCAGGGGTTGGTAATGGTGGTTGAGGTCTGAGTGGGCGTGATGGTGGCCTGTAGGGTATCTGGGTTGGTGTAGATGTTGAGGCGGTTTAGCTCGAGGAGTTGTTGTTGAACCTGATGGAAGACGGGTAGGTACCCGGAAGATGGAGGATGGTACTTCGTAAAAGGTATCTCGTCACTGGATCTGGACGAGAAAGATGGAGATCCGAAGTCAAAAACCCACGGCGAAGTGGGAAACGTGACTTCTTTATACTTCGGAAGGAGGTCCCTTTGATTTTGGCTTTGCAAGAAGGCGTGAACCACATGGCCGGGTGAACCCCCCCAGGTACAGGGGGGCATATCTGCCGTTTGCCTTCGAGCGAACCCACCCCGGACGCCGGACTGCGTGAGGACAAGAGCCGCCGAGGCATGGCATCGCTCGTAGCGTCACTCGTAAGACAGCCAAGACAATCTGGGAGGACATCCATCAGGTCGAAAGAAACAGTCGAGGAAACAGGCTGGTTCTGCCAAGATAGACCTCACGCCGCTTGGCGACGTCTGTGCTTCCACCACCCATGAGCCTCCGCCCACCGGTTTAGTGGCATCATGGTGTGCAAAACCCGGAGAAGTGGAGCCTCGTGGTGTGATGGGTAAAGGGGTGTCAAATCAGCCTATTGGTCAATTGCCCACTTCGGATGGTTGCGGTCTTCTCTTGGCGTGACGCCAGACTTGCCAAGACGTGATGTCTTTGGCGAGCACGACTCAACGGGCTCCGAGGTGTGTTCCGCTGTCTGTTTTGCATGGCCTGCATAGTTTCGATCAGGCTGGAGGCAGATCGGCGAACATATGAGACTCTCATGGGCATCATTGTGTTTGGGATGTTGTGAATGCGCACGATGTCGACATGCTTCAGTTGACACCCGGAGGTCTATAGCTTCGGAAGAGAAGGGGTGAGGGGGGTTCTATTACAGTGGACCCCACGGCGCCGTGCCTTCCAGAACATGTTCCGACTCGGCCACCAACCTCAACAAGATCACGCCTTGCCGCATCCGTACAGCCTCCCCATTGGCCACCTTCGTCGGCTTAGGCCCTGCACCCAGTTCGGTGAGCCCGTGATAAGCCTCCAACATGCGTACTGCTGTGAGTCACGTGGCACCGCATCTGACCAGACCAGACCCTTCTGGTCATGGTCGGGGGTGGAATGGTGTTGCTTGGCATACTTGGCACGTTTTTGCGTTTTTGCACCATGCCCATGGTGTTCAGCTTTGCCCCCAACACGCATCCGTTGTGTGTGTGTATGTGTTGTGTCGCATAACGGGCCTCAATTCCTCATCATTTCAGTCCAACCTGAAACACGGCCTGTGACGGTCGAGTACCGCGCAGGTAAACCGTGCATCCAATGTGCATTGCCTCCGGAGTTCCGAGTTCGCCTCGTCTGGCGTCTCACGGCCCATGAATGCCGCCCCGGGTCTCGTGACTCGCACCGTCACGGCACCGGAGTGGCGGAGTGGCGACACCCGCTCCAGCCTCACCGAGCACAGCCACCAGCTCGCTTCGCATCTTGCCATGACGAACGCCGAACCCCCGACATCGGCCCCGTCCGGCACAGGCACATCGTATACGGGGCAAGTTGTTCGTAGGAACATGATACGACTCGATCTGACCACGAAAGCAGCATGGGTTGCAACTCCGCCATGGTCATTGCCAGACTGCCAATCGCTTGCATCCTTCCATGCTTTTCCCACGCCTGTGGCAATGGCAACACCACGCACCATGCGTTGCATCAGCATCTCCCCCGCAGCACCTTGGCTGCTTGGCGGGGATGCCAAGCAGCCAAGCTGAAACCTCGTTGAAATGGAGGCAAGTTTTCGGAATATCGTGAGCATCTTCAAGACGCCCAACTTCGGCCGGCATGGGGAATGATGACGGCTCGAGACCTACCAACCCCCACGCCACATGCCGTCTCTGCATCGTCGTTGTGAAGTCTTCCCAACAATCACAGTCCATCGTTGTTCCTATTCGTCCCCAGGAAACATCATGCAGGGGCATCCCCGCCATGCCCAGCCATCCAGACGCCAATCGCCAGGCAAAATATTCCGCTCCTCTCCGCCATGCGCATCCTGAGTACCGAAAGCCAAGTGTTTTAGCGGCAACATCGTTGCCCCCGCTTCACCGCTTTGTGCGAGAAATTGACTCGACGATTATCGCCGGTCGACTTGGCATATTGCACGAGGTTGAGCGTGGGGAGCCCCTCGGGCCGCGCCCAGAAAGTGGTCTGACGGGCAGCGGTCTTGGATCCATGTTCCTAGACCCCGTGCTCATGATAATCATTTGATTGCCTAGTGACATTGTTTCATGGATCACCCAACCTCAGTTTTGGTCTGTCGGACAAGGTGTGGTCGAGGCTTACTTGGCTTATTTGAGGATGGCACAAGGGGGGAAACAATCCCTGCTGCAGCTCGGCAACATTAGATACAGCATCAAAGGGACAACGTGCATCTACGACCAATACATGACCAATGAGATTCAACAGCCACTGGTCACGCTTCCGTTCTTGCTTCTGTTGTGCAGGCAGCTGGACCATCATCAGTTGTAGGAAAGCCCAACCCCATGATTCATTCGAAGCCCCATAGGCGACTTCAAGGGTCTTGCTCGAGTCTTTCCCGTTCATCAAATCATTTGGGAGTCATTCTTTCCCCGATATCGTGCCTAAGTCCGCAAGAGGGTTTAGAAGCCGAGTCGTGAAGGCCTATTCTTTGAGAGACATCACTTCCTACCAGTCATTGCGACTGTTCTGATGAGACCTTCGCCAAAACTTGGAATACTTTGGATGCTTTCTTATCCTCGTTTTCGAAGGATTAATCTTCATAAGTAAAGGCCCATATGCGTGGCGGGTTCCTCTTCTCAGTCACACATTCTCGACAACAGCCACGACGCTCGGATCCCAACAGATCAATCAGGCATCTGTTTCTCTGGACTGAATCGTACAGCCCCCGACTCTCAAATTTCATACCGATCGCTCTCGTGCTGAACAGGTCGGTAGGTAAAGTAATCAAACACGGCTTTCTCCGCAGTTCCGTTCAGGTCCGAGCACGCGACACCAACAAACGCACCGGTGAAGCTGCCGTGCGCCTGGTGCCCGCCACACTCATCCGACACGATCGAGGCATCGAGGACGGGTCCAATGGCCTCAAGCTCCTGGCCCTCCAGCGCGTAGAAGAATTGCAGCGCCGGCCCACGGATCGTCAGCGCCAGCTTGACCTTGCCCTCGTTGGGAATCTGCACAGGCTCGATGAAGGGCGTGTTGAGGTTGCCGTCGGGGTAGGACGACTCGGAGCTCATGATGAGGAGCTCGCGCTGGCCATCTGAGTGCGCCGTGACGGTGAGGTAGAAAAAGTTGAAGCGGCAGTAGTACGCCGTGAGGCCGGCGAACTGGCGCTCGTCGGTCGGCTTGAAGTCGACGGTGGTCTCGGCATCGTAGGAGAAGTGGGTTTGGCGCCGGGCTACGAGGGCCTGCTCGAACCAGGAACCAATAGTCTCGCGGCCGATCAGCGTGAGCTTTCCGTCGTCTGTCGAGAAGATGCGATCTGTTTCGGGGGTTCGGAGCCACTGGAGATCCTTGTGCAGGCCCTTCTCAAAGGTATACTTCTGCTCAGCCCAGTATGCCGTGTCGTCGCGGCTGCCGGGAACTTCGACGTGGAGGGACGGTACCGGACCATTCTTCACGTACAGCCATTCATCGTCACCCCAATAAGCCTCTTGGATGTTCGTTTCACGGCCAAGAACACAGCGGCGGTTCTGTGTTGTAGGTCTTCCGCCGAGATGCACCAGGTACGTCTTTCCCTCGGGTGTCTCAACAATATCGCCGTGACCCGCGCGCTGAATAGCGGCGAAAGGTGCGTCTTTCGAGGTGAGAATATATTTCTGAGGGTGTGTCTCATAGGGACCCCAAATATCACGAGATCGTGCAAGAGTACATGCGTGCTCGTATGCGGTGCCGCCTTCAGCCGTTAATAGATAATACCAGCCGTTGCGCTTGTACAGGTGCGGCCCCTCGACCAGCTTGAGATCAGTGCCGGTGTAGATATTTTTCTTTGGGCCGACAAGCTTGCCGGCTGTGGGGTCAAACTCTTGAAGAGCGATACCGGCAAAGAGTAACGGCCGGCGTCGGTGATCCCAAAGCATGTTGACAAACCACTTCTTGCCGTCATCATCGTGAAACAGGGACGGATCGAATCCGGACGAGTTGGCGTGAACCGGATCAGACCAAGGTCCTTCGATTGAAGGTGCGCTGACGATATAGTTGTGAGCGTCCTTGAAAGATCCGTCCTTGCGCTTGACATCTGTGAACACGAGCCAGAACTTCTCGCCGTCGTGAGTGAGACAGGGAGCCCAAACGCCGCAGCTATCGGGGTCACCACGCATATCGAGCTGGCTTTTCCTGTTCAGCGGTCGAATAACGAGGTCCCAATTGGCTAAATCCTTCGAATGGTGGATTTGAACACCTGGATACCACTCAAATGTGGATGTGGCAATATAGTAGTCATCGCCGACTCGAAGGATGGAGGGGTCGGGATTGAACCCTGGAAGAATGGGGTTGCGGACTGTCGGCATGGTGTTTTGGATGTGCAACGTCTTGAATTCAACCAATATGCAAAACTGAGTTGACACTGTTTTGTGTTCCTGTCAGTCGTTGCCCTATCAGTCTTATGGACGAGTGCGACCGGCGGTCGTTCGGAGTAGTGATGCCTCGGAGCGGCTAAATTGAACATCTCTCCTCGCGGACCCCCACAAATATGGGCATTTAGCCGGCGCGATCACCGGCGGCTCCAATCGCCCGGAGCTTGGCTTCCCCTCAGCATCTCAGCATCGCCCTGTAGCTGTTCACCTGAACACTTCAGGAGAGACGCCGTCAGGTCGAAGCTGCCTCAGATGACTCGAGCATCTCGGAGTATACGAGCTGTCCACAGATTCTATATTGGCCAGATTTGGCCGACTTATCCCAGCGTGTTGACGTCATGTATGCTGCGGTCCAGACCGGCCGGAACACGTCCAAGCCCAGCACTGAATCCGATGGTGAACAAGAGGTGTGTTCACTTCCTTGGGGCATGGCTTATGGGGGCACTGGGAGATAAAATTTCCGCACAATTGGTCAATAGACAGGAAGGAAACTTGTAAGTGTCAAGTACTCAAAATACATGCACTGAGTGTTCATTATCTCAAGTCTGGTGAGGCACAAAAAAGTTCAGTCTTGGGCGAAGAATCAGACGCTGACATGGTGCTGTCTGTGCCGCGCCTTACAGCGCTTTTGTGACCTCAATGTCCTACTTTCGAAATGCAAGAACTGCCTCTCAAAGGCCACCCACGAACTTCCAGTGAGGCTCTTTTGTAACCCCAACATTCGAGGCAGGCAAGCACAAGTACCAGTTTTCACTTGATACACCTCCAAGCAATATTCCCCTGCATATTTAAGGCTTGGCAGCGGAGGGAGCTATTTTGAGAATATAAGGTTCCCTGTTCGAGATTTCTGTATGTATATGATCCATCATTTCTTTTCTCTTCAACCATCCGACCTCGTACAATCCAATCAGCCGACGTAACTCGCAGTGCATCAAAAGAGACAATCTCATAAAGAAAGCTCATTTCTGAATATCGAACATGAAGGTATGATCGTTAGCATGTTTTCCGGGAAGTTGAGGCCAAGCTTGTCACTAACTGAACCCAGATGAACGGCCTTCGCACCCTTTCTGCTGTCGCTCTGCTGGTCTCCTTCGTCCCCATGGTGTTTGCCGGCCCGCTCTTGCCTTTAATTCCCGGTTATGATCTCGACAAAAACGCTGCGGGCAAGAATAGAGCACAGACTACGGATCCTGCGGCCTAAGAACCGTCTGGCTTCAGCTGGTCCGGCCCAACACCTACAAGTACGTAGTCGACGTTCAAACAACCAAGGCACGGAGGCCCTAAATGTGCAACATCAGCACACCAACTCATCTGACGTACATCAAGAGACTAGTTTCAGAAATGATGAATAAGTCGTGCGCCTGATAAATTAGTGTATGAGGATGGATCATTCGTACCGCAAGGATGATGCCATTCGCATCGCGTGCCTAAGATTTTGTCACATCTGTTGCATTTTAGATTTACACGGCATAGACAGAGGACACAAGTGATTATTCTTGAGCGGCCTAGTAGCAACCGCCTCACGAGCATGGACTTTCCAGACGTGTTGGCCGGCCTTAGTGGAGCAGCAACGACTTGTTGCAATTCGTTTTTTTTAAAATGCATGTAAGATGGACCGCGTTGTCTCAATTGCCCTCGTAAAAATGACTACGATGGCAATCAACTTAGAACATCTACGAAATTGCCAAAAGGTACCCATTGTGGTGCTGCGATAGTCTCGAGACAAGACCATTCCTCTTCAAGCCTTGTTGAAGTTAGTGTGGGTGCAGAAGACGTAAAAACGCCGTGGAGCTCAGCGCTAGAAATATGAAGAATATGCGAAGGCAACTGAAATTGTAAAGGCTGTTCTATGACATGTGCACTGGAGTTTTGTGCCACGAAAACGGAAGCGTATCGTGCTTTACGAACAGAGGTGGTTGTTTTGAAATAGTCAATTTGTCAGTACGAAACGGCATGGCCGAGACAGGTACAAATGTATCACGACGTCGTATGATGTGAGCAAATAGTACCTCGTGGTGGTAGTTTGACGCAGCTTGTTCATCAGAAAAGACCATGGACACACCATCAGCAGTGTAGATCCCAGTAGCAGCACCATAATTGGGTGCAGTAGCAATCCTCTGTGCGTCTCACTGCTTTAGGTGATAAATGACTCGTCGCGATAGTTAAAGCCGACAGAGAGATGACGAGCTTAATAATCCGACTTGAAGGGTCTGCATCATGTGACGTAATGACTCCAGAGACATCCATCAAAGCACGGGCTTTCGGCGATTAGACAGACTTGGCCATCAGTTGTTTGAGCACCCGACCCCTAGATCCCACTCCCTCGTCGGAGATCAAGCAAAGATGCGACGCCAGGTTCCTCCCATGTGCTGGAAACCCATTGGATGATCAGCATGGAGCCTGTCGGCCCAGCAGAACTTTTTTTTTCCTGTTCCTGGGCAACCCTGATGCCATGCGTGCCGCTTCTTCGGCCGGCCCGACGTCATCCTCACGGGAGCAGCTTTAGTGCCTCGACCAGCCTGTAGGTACGATCGAGACTGAGATCAGATGGCGCCATCTATGATTGAATGCCGTCCTTAACGCGCGGCGGTGGGTCTTCTGCTCGCTTTTATTTCTAAGCTCATCGGTAGATGTCGCACCAAGCCCCATCTTCTTGAGGGGCTGTGGAAACCCGGAATCCGAATCCCGCAATGTCAAGAGTATTATCTGGAGAGTTCTGGAAATGGACCTATATCTGGGCATAGTATATAGAGCCGCCAGTCCTGAGATCTTTCTCGGATTTGTCCAAGATAGAATACCTCACCACTTACCACAACATTGGTAGACATCAACAGCAAACGTCTTGCCATCAATCCTGCCACCACATCCACCTTCACACAACATGGCAGCCAACTCCAAGCTTTTCGAACCCCTCAGGGTCGGCAACATGACGCTGCCCCAGCGCATCGCCATGGCGCCGCTGACTCGTTACCGCAACGACGACGAGCACGCACCCATTACCGACCTCATGGCTCAGTACTACGGTGACAGGGCCTCCGCCCCAGGAACACTCATTGTCACTGAGGCCACCGGCATCTCCCCCGCCGAGGAGGCCGACCCTAACCTGCCCGGCATCTCCAGCCCGGCGCAGGCTGCCGGCTGGAAGAAGATCTACGACGCCATCCACGCCAAGAACTCGTTCGTCTTCCAGCAGCTCTGGGGACTCGGTCGTGCCGGCAACCCGGGCTACATTCAGGAGCGTGGTTACAAGTACGCCTCGAGCAGCGACGTCCAGATGTCGGGCCGTCCCGTGCCACCCTCGCCCCTGACCGAGGAGGAGATCTGGCAGAAGATCGGCGAGTTCCGCGCCGCGGCGGGAAACGTCGTCGACGCCGGCGGCGACGGCATCGAGATTCACGGCGCACACGGCTATCTCGTCGACCAGTTCACGCGCGACAGCGCCAACAAGCGCACCGACAAGTGGGGCGGCTCGATCGAGAACCGCGCGCGCTTCCTGCTCGAGGTCATCAAGGCCGTATCGGAGGAGATTGGCGCCGCGCGCGTCGGCCTGCGCCTCAGCCCCTTCGCCACCTTCCAGGAGTCCTACTCGGCAGACACGTGGGAGCAGACGTCCTACATCGTGCGCGAGATCAAGAAGGCCGGCCACAAGCTGGCGTACCTCTCGCTTGTCGAGCCTCGCGGCAACCCCGTCCTGCTCGGCATCGTGCCCCAGCAGCCCAGCGACAGCGTACAGCCGTTCCAGGAGGACCGCCCGCACACGCTCGACTTCATTCTTGAGGAGTGGGACAACTTTTCCCCCGTCATGGTCGCCGGCGCCTACACTGGTGAGAGCGCCGTCGAGGCCCTCGAGAAGCACTACAAGAAGTGGGACGTGCTGATTGCCTTTGGCCGCCCCTTCATTTCGAACCCTGATCTCGTCTTCCGCATCAAGAACAGCATCCCGTTCGCGCCGTACAACCGTGAGACGTTCTACAAGAAGAAGAGCAACGACGGGTACAACGACTACCCCTTCAGCGAAGAGTACCAGAAGAGCGAGGCTGCGGTATCTGCTTGATTTTCAAAATGACGGAGCGATTGCATGGTATCGGCGTTACACACAGGATTGAGTGCATTTACATGTAGACATATACCGCTTGATAGAGAGCAAGAATTATGATTTTCCTACATAGCTATCATCTCGATTCGTGGTTCATCAAGTGTGACACATGTCCAGAAGTGGCCGCGCTTTCGTTTAGACGTCGCGATTGTCTTCAGTGCCTGCCGCTCGACTGTTTCCAAGACCGCCATCGACATCGACTCCAGATGCCCTTTGCTCTTTGATCGCCTCACGAGCACTGGCCTGTTCTTGCTTCTTCCTGCAGAGATATTAGCCCGTGATGCCGCAACGAGAACGCGGTTGGTCCTTGGCGTACCTTTCAAGATCATCAGTAAAGCTCTGTTCCGTCACAGTCTCTCCCTCAGCGAGCTGTGTACCGCTCTTTCTGGCTACAGCGTCGGCAACCTTGCCCTCGGCGAACGTTTCCAGCTGTTCGGCTTCGACATTGGGGTTTTCTGGGCCCTTGATCCCAGCGCCCGGTGCGGCGTACTCGGTGTTCCTTCTTTCGGTCTCGTCGACAGGGCCTGAGCCTTGGACCCCGTAACCGAGGGAAGAAGGAACGGCTTCGTCGATGGATGCGGCCTGGGCTCGAGGGACCGGGGCGCGGCCCTCTTGCATCGCGCGAACCTCATCTTCCGTAGGCATCGTGGCGGGTGGGCGGTATGGCGGTGTCAAGTGCGTCCGAGGTTCACTCCTGGCTATTATCTCATGAGAATTCCGATGACAAGGGATTGCAATGTGTTTGCAACATGCCAGAAGCCAGCTGTATTGCCGGAGGTGAGGTTCCAGATCGATGACGTCGCTGCGGGATGGCCATGGATCGGCGCTTGTTCGCACCCACAAATTACAGGAATGACGCTGGGCTCCCAAAGGTCAGTCAGGTAGTACCGCCATAGGAAGCCAATAACCGTCAATCGGGTCCTGTCCAAGGCTTCGTCTTCCCCTGATCGTGGTCATTCAAGTCGAGCCGGGAAGTACTTGGTCGTCCCGGTGAGTACCGGTTCTCGGTCAACGCTGGCTTCACCGAGATATCCACCATGATTCACTGTCAACCAATCATAATATTCAAAGAAAATCCGCTTGAGTGTCCTGGTTCGTGACTACGAGGAAAACCACTGAGGTCAAGGTCGTCAACGTCTGCTTCCCTGTGCACTTCACAAACCACAACGGCTGCGAGTGTGCTTGGGGCTCGAAACGCCGGTGTGTGATGAGCTGGCACCCGTTCGGAGGACCGTCGCGGTCCGGGGACGAGTGGTTCTCTGTCGGTCTGGCCTCTGACTTTCCCGACCTGGGCTTTGATGAGGATAGCCTCTTGGATAACCGCTTCTGTGGCCCGGACCTGAAGCCCGGGTGCAAGGTGTTTCATGCACCAAGAGAACCTGGGTCCGCAAGGACCGAGATAGCGATCGCAGAGGACGACGGTCCGCCCGAAGACGAGGATCTCAAGGACCAAGTGCTCGTGTTCCAGCACAGGGGCACGTTCCACGCCATCGATCATGTGAGCCCCTTCTCAGGCGCATTAGTCAAGACGAGACCACTCGCTCATATCCACAGCGCTGCCCTCATTCCTCCTACCCGCTATCTCGTGGTACACCGTTCGACATTGAGGACTTTGGAGTCATGCTCAGCGCCGGCATAACCTGTCCAAAGCACGCCTGGTCGTTTGACCTCCACACAGGCATGTCAGATCGCGCTCGGTACAAGCTCGGCGTATGGGAGACCCAGGTCCGAGATGTGAAGCGCCACGGACTCCTCGGATTGAGCACAGCCAAGAGTGATGCTGTTTCCGAGCAGCCAGAGAAAGAGGTGTGGGTGAGGAGGAAGCAGAGGATGGGCTGACGAGACGATTTATATCCATCCGTTGCTAAAAGAATCGCCATCTCATGCTGAAGCACGCCTATCAACTCTCATCTCCTACTTGGCGTTCATGGAGAGGCGCGTATTGCATCTCCGACGTGAGGGTGGCCACTCGAGCGACTGGTAAACGGCTCAAGATAACAAACGGCCCCGCCCTATCTTCGGCGGACCCCGAAATCTCCCCGCATCGAGACTCCAACCAGACGACTCATACCTCTCGAACCAGATACTATTCATATATCCGCAAGACATACGCATGCTTCCCCGGGGAAAAAAAAAGAAATTGATATTATCAACAAGATCCTACCATAGTCCCTTCACTGATCATGACCGAAACGCTCACAGCCAACAAGCCGGCAACGACCCTCCTCCGCCTGGCCTCCGGCAACGGCCCCGTCACACGTACCGTCCTGACAACCCCCCTTCGCGATGCCCTCCCCTCTGAGATACCCATCATCGACATATCCGGAGCCTTCAGCGACGCCCTCGCCGACCGCGAAGTCGTGGCGCAGCAGATCCGCGCCGCCGCCACGACCTCGGGCTTCTTCTACATCGCCAACCACAACATCCCCGCCTCGGTGACCGAATCGGCCAAGGCCGCCTGCCTCGCCTTCTTCCGCCAGCCGCTCGAGGCCAAGATGCAAGCCCACGTCGGCAAGTCGCGCTACTTCAACGGCTACAAGCCGCCGGGCTCGCAGCGCATCAACAAGTCCGAGTCGGTCGACGCCCGCGAGACCTTCAGCTGGACCTACGACCCGCGCTTCGACCCCGCGGCCCCGCCCGTCGAGGCCATCCCGCCCGCGCCCGGCGGCTTCCTTGCGAATGAAGAAGTCCACTGGGACGCCGTCGCCGCCGCCTCGCC